ATTAGCCCTTCCTGCCTGCCACTCCCACTCTCACTATCGGCAGGTGTATATTCACCATGGCCTATCTGAATACTTAAATGAGTGGTACCCTTTTGAAAATAGCAACTAAATATAATTTTAAAAATTAAAATTATCATTTTTAGTACTTTTTGAAATCCTTTCTCAGAGACTGCTTTTATCAGATCTTCAAATTTTGTAGTTCCAACAACAACAAGAACAGATTTCTTAGGCATCCCTAAAAATTAAAAATTTAACCCTTTGCAATGTCACGGCGTTAAAATTTCATATAGTCTAGGCGTGGTCACAATAAAATGACATCTTTCTCGAGATGGCTTAGCTCTAGTAAACGCTTATCAAGATGGAGTGGACGGTTTAAGAGTTTGATGAGTGACTATGCTACAGTATGCAAGGATGTACTAGAATATGCAAAGAAGAAACCACTCCGTTTCACTACTATGGTAACGATTGGTTCTTTTGCTGGAGTCTCATGGAAGAAGAATCCGGACATGAACGGATTTGTAAACGAAGTACTTCAGTATTCTAATGAGATATCGTCTTGCAGTGAACTAACGAGGAATCCAACAGCTCAGAGAATTGTAGAGGGGCATTTATCAGGGATATGTAATCGATCATTGGATCACGTCAATCTTGGAGTGTGTTCTCTAATTATACGGCTTCCTAATTATAAGGATTGTAAGAATTATATGGAGACGTGTCCCCAATTAAAGCCCCACTGGTGGACGATGAGAGAGAGGATTGTAGATATTGGGTTTTGGGATAAATGGTGGGTATTGGAAAAAGACATGATAGACTATGATGTGAATCCAGAATCATTTTAATATTATTCTTTTCAAAATACTAAAAGTTACATAGTAAAAAACTAAAAATGTCAAGAATGTTATGTATGTAAAACTTCATATAAAACTGCTGAGACTAAGCATATAAGGTGTGTGCATAACGGTACAGGTAAAATCACATTTGTTCACATACATTGTCTCTTGCTAGCTGATGCATCACTTTTGCTTCCTTTTCTCTTTGACAAACTTCTCTTTATCTCATTAGCTAAAGTAGCTTCCCCCATACTTTCCAATGCTTCTACCAATTGCTTGTAAGTAGGAGGTCCCTTACCACTGGACTGCTTCAGCCAAGCAGCTAGCATTTTCATTAGGCAGCTATCTATGTCTTTGCAATCAGTTTGTATTTTGTCCAGTTCTGTGTAACGAACATCAAGTTTTAAACCTAATACATCCCATTTAGTTATTGAATTGTTCAATAATCCAAATACTTCATTGTGATCATCTAAACCTATGATTAATTAATTAATTTAAAGTAAAGGACTAAAGGCATTTTTAGCATAATTATACATATAATAGGTAGGATTAAAATCTTACTAAGTTCATTAACTGTGGCAGTGGAAGTATCAGAATCTGTTAATTGTCCGTCATTTTTTGAAACTATGCATATAAGTTTAAAAAATACAGTAACATGTTTAATGAAATTTTGTACTTACTATCAAGCCAATCTATCCATGACCTGTCATCATCAATGTGCTTTGTAGGATCTTTGGTGCATGTGAACATGCGTTCTCCAGTGATGCTTTTTGTAATTAGAAGAACGTGTTTCTGTTCATTGCCACATGGGCAGTAGAATGCTTCTTGAGGGATAGCATTCTCACCAAGGCTACGAATCATTATTGCTTCAATAATAGCTTTCTTTATGTCATCTCTAGCTAATGACATAGAAGGA